TACTGCCCCGGATAAAAAAAAAATTGTTAATATTTTTTCCAAATTTTCCAAAAATTCCTGAAAAACTTTTCAGAAATTTTTTTTTTATTTTTCAATATTCTCATAAAATACGCCTTTTAGATTATAAACTAAATTTCCTATTTAAATTTTTGAAGAATTTTTCAAAACCTTTTTCAAAAATAAAATTGTTTTGTTTTCCGATTTTTTTTCTGTTTCATAAAAAAAAATTCTGAAAAATCCTCCAGAAATTTTTTGACAATTTGGAAAAAATATTTCGATTACATTTTTTTTACCCGCGACCATCTGCCCTTCTAATCCCATAATAATAACAATGAAATCGCATCTCATAATAATTACATAGAGAAAACAATTTTTTTTTAATATCAATAATTTTTCAAATGAATTAATATTTGGGAAAAATGCATTTTTTTTCTCAATGCATAAAGGACTGGCATCCGCTCCCATGTCTTCAAACTGCCAAAGACAATGCGAGGAAGAGCGCCATCTTTTCCTGCTCCTCTATCCCACCCTATTTATAATATTTCTATTTATTTCCCCTCGATCTCTCCTCGGGCAATTAACCCCATTATCCCCATCTAATTTTTATTTATTTCCCATTTATCCAAAACACTAATATGAAAATAATAAACAATATTCCACTGGTTCCCCTTTGAATTCGAGGGATGGATTTTCGTATTCGAAGTTTTAATCGAAATAGATAATCCCGAAGGATTTTAACGGAAGGAAACGGTAAAAATACAGACGAAGGAGAGGACGAACGGCAAGAGAAAAATGTCCGATGAGCAATAACGATAATAGCGGGGATAAAGTCTGGATAATGGAGCGATATTTACGAGCTAATTTTCAAGCTGGTTTTATAATACGAATAGGTAGAATAAAGAAGATTAGGTCGACTTCCGGTGTACGAAAACACGAAATAGCATGTTCTTAGTTCATCTCCACTTCAAACAAATTTCCCTCTTGTTTTTGCGGGGTTATTTAATTCCTTGTCGACTGAAAAATGAGGGAGGGATTTAAAAGGGAGAAGCGAGAAAAAAAAATGAAATTGATAAGGTTGTGGACCTCGGTAGGTGGGCGGAATACCCTCAACTGGATAATCCTAGGCAATTTAAGCGAGAGCTGTGGATGAAAAAGTGGGTAATTCGTCGGTGTGAGGCAGGAACGATCAAGTATTTCCGTCAAATCGCCCCAGCAGTGGTCAGACAACTTCCCACGCCTCTCAGCGTGAAAATCCCTCCACACCGTTTATTGGCTAATGAAAAACACGTGGAAATAGCGCACGAAACACCAGAAATTTCGTAAGGATACGTTTAGGAGAAACTCGGAAAATATTCGAATTTATTTCACCAACACGGAGATTAATATTCACTTATACCAATCTTCCCACGGGTGCTCCGAAATGCCCTTTTTTTCATCCAGGGTCGATATATTTAAGATCGATTATTTTACAATCGATACTCGATTTTTAAATCGATTTTTGTGGATCGATCGATCGAGAATTGATATTTCATAATTTTATTTCTCAGCTCGAAAAATCCGGAATAATCCCAATTGTTGATTATCCCCGGGTAAAAAAAATTGTAATCAGTATAAAAATAAAATTCTTATGTTTTCTAATTTTTTTTGTTTGATAAAAAATATTTTCTAAAAAACTTCCCAGAAATTTTTTGAAAATTTGAAAAAAATATTTCGATTACAATTTTTTTACGCGGATCCCCTTTGAATTTTTTTTCTCGCGTGCGAATTAAAATGAAAATAAAATGAATGAGTCAAATCCCAGCGGTAAATTGGGGCGTATGATTTAATGGAATAACCAAAGAGATTATTGGCGTGAATGAAGGGGGAAAGGCAGGTTTAGTAATGGTAGGCACGCTTTCTAGGATAGAGAGAGCGTAAAAGCCTGTGGGACTCGTTTCATTCATTCATTTTGCCTCATTCACTAAAACCACTTCCATTCATTGTAAACAACAATGAGTTCTCCCGTAACGATTGTAAAAAAAAAAACACTGTACCCACTGTTCATATTCATTGTACAGTGGCAAGTTTATAGGAATAATTGTGAATTGTTGGAAAAGGGCAGGGCAAATATTTATACGAGTTTATTTCTCTCGACTCATCCGACACATATGCTAAGTGAAAATAGTCAACTCGTCGGGTGCAATCGAGAGTCTCCCGATACGAAAATACGCGCTTCTTGGAAGGACCGAGGAACGCCAATCGTACCTCGTTGCACTTCAAATAAAGATATTCGGGACTCCAAAATACTCCAGCAACCCAATACCACTCCAGTCGCTGGGAAATTTAAAAATTTTCCCTTTTTCAAATTTCGGGAGACTATCAGCCACCGATCCGGGCGAAAAAAAAATTGTAATCGAAATATTTTTTTCAAATTTTCAAAACATTCAACTTTCCACAAAATTTTCCTTTTGAAACAAAGAAAAAAATCGGGAAACAAAAAAATTTTATTTTTGGGAAATGTGTAAAAATTTTGGGAAATTTTTGCGAAAATAATTTTTTCTTTTAATTATACCGTTGCTTTCTTACTTTTTGATTTTTCAATATTCTCAAAAAAAAAACGCCATCTAAATTATAAAAAGAATTTTCCTATTCAAATTTTTGAAAAATTTTCAAAAAAATGTTTTAAAAATTTGTAAAAAATATTCCGATTGCAATTATTAAATAATTTTAAAACAATTATGAGCTCCATCGAAGTCATTAAGACGATGACCGTAGAATTTCCTGATGACCAATGACGATGAACCATTTATTTTGGGAAAGTCCTGGTATTTACCATGAATTCCTGCAATACGGCAATACACGCCTATTATCTCCCCACCATAATCTCTTTTTTTGTTGATATATTTTTCCGCGTGCAGAAGCCGCCCCCAGGGGCAGTGACTAATTGCCCCAACGGCGTGCCTGACCCCTTGGCTTGTTTATAGGTGCGTATATTCCTACGCATCACGCGTACACGAGGAATACACTTCCATACATATATAAACTCTGGGTGCCTATTCTCGACACTTGGGAATGTAATCCGTGAACGAATATTTGGTATTCCCTTGAGAACTCATTCGTTAGACTTCCCCATGCGAATATGATTCGTAGACGAATCGGCAACTTGCCATTCAGACGAAAAATCAAACCTATTTTTTTCTCACTGAATAGAAACCTCGAGTTTTCCAGAGAATTTTCACTATTTTAGATATAGTGAATCAGGAAAAATCCACTTGCCACGCAGGAAAAATCAGGCCTATCGTTTTTTTATTGGGAGAGTTTTTCCTATTGAATTTTTGATATTGGAAAATTTGATAAATAGGGAATCGGGAAAAATGGTTCCTTCATGGATTACGTTCCGTTCACGAAAGATGTTCCCCATGAGTCGAGAATAGGCCCCTGGGGGTAAACGAAAGGGAGAAGAATCACGGGATAAATGTGCGTCAGATGTTATTTTCGGTGCTCTCGCCCGCAGTCTGCCCGACACACCGCCGGTTTTCGTCTTCAATCCTTTTTCTCACATTTTTTTTCCCCCATTTTCACCCCTTTGGCAGACGCGCCTCACCGATTCACCGGAAATTTTTTTCCCGCGGAAATTCGCACCGAAAAATGTCTCCCTTGAAAAATATCGCGCGTTGGTTAATTGCGCGGTTTTTTTGAAGTAGATAATGAGAAAATTATGGGAGTCCATGATTTTTGTTAGGTAGGATTAATTGTGGCTATCTGTATGTAATATATTATTGAGAGTACAAATTGATCTGGAGTCCCGGGTAAAAAAAAATTGTAATCGGAATATTTTTTCGAAATTTTCAAAAAATTTCTGGAAAACTTTTCAGAATATTTTTTTATGAAACAGAAAAAAATCGGAAAACCATCGAATATTTGGAAAAAATATTCTGATTACAATTTTTTTTATCCAGGGTAATTAGGGGAATGATGGAATTATTAGTAAATGTGAAAGGGAATGGAGTGAAGACATTGTAAAAATGAAAATTGTGCATTTTGTCGTTCCTCAATTCGCTGGTTTATCAGGGATGCTTGTTTATCGTCTCGAGTCACATTTCCGGTTGCCAGCTCACGAAGCTTCATCTTATCGGTTTGACTTTTGCAAATGGCAACGTGAAAATGAAGTCGAGACGGCACTAAAGTGGATAACTATGGCGCCCGATTCCACAAGTAGAAATACGATATTTATGATTAAATCGTCACACGATTCGCCGAACGAAATGCAACAAAAAAATCATTTTAGTTTTTATTTTAACGAAACTCGAGAGGCTTTTGGATGAATAAAATTGTCATTCAAACATCGATGAGACGTATCTATTAGGGAAATGAAACCTCCGGTGATTGCGATTCTCGTTAATGGAATTCGATCGGTCATTAATCGAGAATAACACGAAGATCTAAAAATAAATGGGCATTCTTTCCGAGGGAATAATTCTCTCTAAGACTTGAGGCTTCAAAAAATTTTCATTTTCAAATTTCAATTATTCCGTTTAAATCGGTTTGTAAATTAAATTTTTCGATTTCGATCTCCAGTCGTCAAAGGCTCAGGACCATGAGCCTGAGATCAATTCCTTAATCCTCGATTAAATAAAACATGAATCCCTGAAGAATAGTCCTGATAATCCCTGACAAAAACAACCCATCCGCGTATCGCGGAAAATTCCAGAAAAAATCACCCTGAAAAACCGGGAAGTGAGAGAATCGATGGATCGGTATGCGGGAAACGCAGTCTAGGGTCTGTACATCCAACAAAATACTCGTACACACGCAACGTGTGACATCCGGGATGCGTGTTGTGTACCTCCATCCGAGTATTCCTGTCGAGAAGAGAACCAAGAAGTTATTCCTGGAAGCCTGCACTCCACATATCCCTTCTCTCCCCTTTTGCCATTTCAAACTCGTGTTTACAAACGTATTTTACTGAACCCAAAATGTTGATGTATCTCATTACCCCTATTTTTTTTTCAATGTTGCAGTACGCGGGTATCAGAATTGGTCCAGTGGTGAAAAAGGACGTGATGAAAGCATCGATAATGCTGGAACACGACAGCCAGTGAGTATTATTTTTTAAAATATACATTATCGACAGAAAAAAATTACTCATCGGTTTATCGTTCGCCTTATTTCGATTTGATTATTCACGGGTTACTTCTATTTCCGGTTTACCCCCTGGGATATCAACGGATTTTTTTTTCTCAGTTCTCCATTTTTTTTATTTGCAGGTACGCAACGATATTGGCGTTTGACGTTAAAATTGAACGCGATGCTCAGGAGTTAGCGGATTCGCTGGGTGTTAAGATATTCCAGGCGGACATCATCTACCATTTATTCGACAAGTTTACCGCCTACAGGGAGGAGCTGAAGCAGCGAAAACGAGATGAACATAAACATATAGCTGTTTTTCCCTGCAAACTCCGGGTTCTGCCGCAGGTGATTATTTTTTAAAATCATTTTTGCCTCTGCATTTGTTCCAGGGAGAGCTAAAGGAGATAACAAATGGGGCATTTTATTTTATTATCTTTTTTGGGAAATGAGGGCATTATCGAGTGTGATATTGTGATGCTGGTTAACTCCGGATGAGAGACTGGGGGTTTATCAACGCCGGATGTTGGAGTCGAGGCAGGAAGTCGAATCTCGTGGGGGCCCTCATCAGCGATAGCCTTTGGGCTTTATCGATTACACCTCCATACACTCAATTGTTCGTGTTTTATTCTTTGAATTTTTCATGGGTATCGAGTGCACTTGATTAAGAACTGCGAAGTTCAAAATAATTTTCAAGTCCAAGTCTAAATATTTCCCTGAGCGAAAAAAATTCTTTCTCATCATCTTTCACTTATTTCAATTATTAAACTCTAAAAAATTCATTACGACCTTCAATGCACGCTCTAAATAATAATTAACATCAAGGAATCCATCGGGATTTTTCTCTCGAGAAAATCGATATAAAAAATTATTTTATTCTGGTTAAAATTGAAAAAAAATGTTTAATTGAGTCAATTGAAAATTTTAAGAGCAGTTTTCCGGGAGTACTCAGCATTTTAAACGGCGGGAGAATTTTCGTCTGGAGAAAGTAAATAAATAGAATTTGAAATGCAAGTGCTAGTGTAACACAACAGGAAAACGTGTATCAAACGATAGTTGTGGCCTATACAGTGCCACTTGAGCAGATAGCCATTTCCTAGAACGTGCCACCGGTAATTGGAGTCCACTCGAGTTTCGCCAAAAGGAAACGATAACTGAATTCATATTTTTCGTGTGTTATTACACTCATTAGCATCGGCAAATGCACTTTCAAATGAATTGACAATTTGTCTAGGCACTCTATCTGTGCAATAAACGTGGAGAAGCGACACTGAGTGGCTACTTAAGGTATCATCTGAGCCTCCAACTCCACGCCCGACCAACCACTTATTTCAATTTATCTAAAAGAGTTTTATTTTATATTCCGGAGGTTTACGAGACTGGTGCACGAGAACTCACGAAAATCATTTTAAATTTATGAAATTACGATGAAAGTTCACGTTTAACTCATTGAAAAAAATTGAAAAGAAATTTTCCACCGTAAAAAATTATGATTACACTATATTTTTTGAACGATAGATCTTTAATAATAATTTTCTCTTTGATATTTTTGCTTTGCAGTATATATTCAACTCCAGGGATCCCATTGTGATGGGTGTGATGGTTGAGGCTGGAATCGTCAAGGAGGGAACACCCGTGTGCGTGCCCAGCAAGGACGTGAGTACATGTTTTATTGAAAATATTATTTCTATTTAAAAAATTCACGTGTCGAACGTGTGAACGATTGGGGAAGGGAGAAAAATTTCAGTATGATTGGAATAAATGTATTCATGCGCGCCCACCGCTCTCTGCATTTGTATGTGGATCGTATTCTCGATCGAGATATAATACCACTCAAAACCCACACGATATATTTTTGTTTCAAATTGACAATCGCAAAAGGCTGTCCCACCCACATGTCAAAATCAGTCGCTCTCTTTTTTTTTTTTTTTTCAATCCACTCACTGAGAAAACCAGAGTTCAACATCAATTAAAGCATGAGAAGTTGATTAATAACTCAAACCTCTGATTTCCTAATTTCACGCACTCCATTGATTGAAGATAAATAATAAATAAAATAATTTCGGAATTAATGTGCGATCAATCAATAGAATTGCGTAATTATTCTCGGATTTATTCTGGAAATGAGGAATACTTTATCGAGGAATTTCTAGGATTTTTCTTTATGGAGATGAGAATAGTTCTTGAATTTTCCATTCGCTTTTAGAATTCAATAACTCACGGGTTGTTTTTTCCCTCCACTCCTCTTGGCGAACCAAAAAAAAATGGTAATGGGAAAACCGTAAAAATCGTGATTGCTTCTGTCCCTCAAGATTTCACGTGTAGGTGAACCCGTCCACCGAGTTCTTTCGATACGATAAAGTCGATAGGAAGGACTTGGTGCACCGTAGGAGGACGAGGTTTTTCCCCCATGGGCCTAACATTAACGACGTAACTACCTGGCACTGAGTGGGCGTCTCATTTTTTTCTCACCTTTTTCTCTCGATCTGCTTTTTCATTTCGCACTTAACCCATTCCAAAGTTTTTTAATTCTTCATCTTTTTTAATCGAAAGATTGAAAAATACTAACAGCTGAATTCTCGAATTATTCATTCGATTAAATGAAAACGTTGAAAGTAATTATTCCGCGAAAATGAATATTTTGACTGGCGTTGCGGAATTAAAACCACGGGAATATCAATTATGGAAGATTTAATGTCCAGCGAATGGACTTGTACCACTCCTCAAACCCACAATGTACTTGTGGCAATGCGTGTGCGTTAGGTGGGAAGATGGTGAGGTTTATTCATGTTTTGCTCTGTTCTGTTGCTAACTAAAACGTTGGACAAAGTTGAGAGAACGTCTGCGAGAGTATGAAATAAACGAGGTGGAGGGGCTTTTGAGGGTATCATTGCATTCTTGTCGCCCGCGCATAGAAAGCAGACACTACCATATAGTTAGCCCACATACTCGGTTATTTCAATGTTCCTGCAACACCAGGACTAGCTATTATTCATCATCTTATTGATTAGTTCATTTCGTTTGGGACTCATCAATTAATAAGTCAACAGTCCCCAACTTCCTCGCTTCACCCATTCATTCATCACTCAAAGAGTTCAATTACTTTTCTATTTCCATCACCTTTTCCCAGATTATTGATTTTACGGGTAATTGACAAATTGAAAAGTGGATTTTCAGTCCATTTTATTGAAAATTCTTCTGTTTGTTTAATGAACCTGAGAATAATAACTGAATATTTCAGAATTATGAGATGTATAAATAATGAACGAGTGAATTATTTTGTAAATGACATTCCACTTTTCACTCTGACAAATTTATAAAATTATGACAGATTTTTCAGTTAATTTTATAAATAAATGGAATGCTGTCCCAGATTCCGACAGTTGAACATTTTTTTAAAAGCTTTCAATGAAGAAAATTATCGAAATGAGACATTTTGGGTCGAAAATGGGGGGAATTTTCCCAAGAGATCGAGGGGAGATTGTGGATTTTATCTGAGTGGATTTGTAAGTTGAAAGTTGTGCTGGGGCAGATGATCCCAACCGGATATTGGCGGTCACGAAGTGTTGGCTCAGGTCAGGATTTTGCCCAGAGGTGTCCCACATGTCTCTTATCCTCACACACCTGGGGTAGTTGATAAAAGGAGAGAGAAAATAGTGGAAGGGGCTGAAAACCTAGGTATGTCTATTTTTTCATCTTCAGGGGTTCCCCCTCGTTTTTCTACGTGACCTCGCAAGCCAATCGGGAGTTAGAATCGCGCACTTCCGGCCTCTTGTGACGCTCATTGACATATTTTCATGTTCCATTGATAAAACCCACCGAGAAAAACGGAAATGGCGAGATTCATTGAGTAAAAAGTCAACGAAAAACACTGAATGGTAATTTTTTTTTTTATTTCTCTTTTAATAAGTGAATAATTATGTTGCTCACCAGCTCGTAGTGTTACATGTCACGTTTCACCGAGTCGTTATCGATATGTTATGCAACGACCTCGATAGCACGAGTCAATTTTTTTTCCTCGTTTTATTTTTTATTTCTTTCACGAGTAAACGGAAATCCGGCAAATTCTTTTTCAATGCCCAGACTGTTTTCTCAGTGACCTCTCCTCGCTATTGCCGTTTCACATATCTTCCGTCTCTCGTAATTAACCGACGTCCGATCCTCATTAAGAAGACACATCGACCTTATATTTTTTTTCTGCCGTCCAAATGATTTTTCATCTTATTTTATCACCACGAAGCCACTGACGTAAAAAAAAAAACGTGAAATGTAACTAGTCGGTTTGAGGAATCGAGAGTTTTTCGGGGAATATTTCGGGATCTAACAGAAATTTTTGTGCAACATTTTTTTTAACTCAGATTCCATTCTCCAAAAATTGCCCTATGGATATAGGAATCAATATAGGCTCGCTTCAATTACGAGATATAATCTCTCTTTTTAATTCGTCATCATTTCGAATTGAAAAAAATTGTCTTGAAAATTTATTATCGCAAAGACAAACGGAAATGAACGAAGCGAGCAGCACTTGTTCGCTTTTTCAATTTTTAATTAAAGTCTGGTATTTCCAATAACAATCACTCGAATCGCTCCCATTGTTGAAGACAAATACTGTCAATGCCAAATGTAATTTGTACAAGTTGTTTGGATATCGAAGTAGATAACTCCACTGATAATCATTGAAACAAACTAGACGATTGAGTAATTTTTTGCGCAATGTAATTTCGGAAAATTCTGTGATAATTCTAAAAATTATAAAAATTAATGATTCGTATTTCTGGTAAAATCCTCCGAAAATTGATGAAATTCTTGACTTTTTAAATAATTATTCCTTCAAAATGTGGAAGAGTGAAAAAAATTCCGAGATTTTCCGAATTTTTCTCGAATATTTAATTATCTAAAATAATTTGCATCGACAAATGATTCCACTCCAGAAATACAATTTAAACCCGAAAAATATAAATAATCTTTAATAACCGGAGATAACTCGATGCTCGAAAAATAAAAAAAAAATACGGTACAACAATTTCCACCAGATTGAATCGTCGCAAATAGTTCTCTAATTTCCCGTGAAATATTAATCATGGATATGTCAAAAGTCCCCAAATTTAGTCCTCCATTTTGCCCTGCTCCCGACATATCCCACAAACCCAGGAATTGGCATTTGAATTAATTACGAGTTCCACCAAAAGCGGACGGATGCGACACTGTGGGTGGGTGGGTGTCAAAGGGGGAGGGTAAAAAAGGGGGAGTGAAGTGGGAGGAAGCTGCGTCACACTGGGATATTCCACGAAATTCGAAGCGACCGTAAATGGAAACGTCGGCAGCTTTGAGTGGCATGTGCCACCGGATGAATTCTAGTTTGGCCACCCAATAGGTCCCAAACTGCTGAGAATGAGAGAGAGATACATAAACACGTACCGCCTCACTTCCGGTTTGTGGTGGAAACGCCCACGGCTTCCTTCCGGCCGTTTATCACCCGATGGAGACAAAAAATAATGAATCCCTGTGGTGGGGAGGACAAGTGTCTAGTACTATGGGCACATGGGCCCTTTGTTCATCACCAAAAAAGGGATGAAAAGCCCCCGTGGATCCGAGAGGAAGGAAATGTCCACTCGATTTCCCGGAAATAATCCCTTCCATTATTCCCCCCATCCACTCTATTATTTCCATCATTTTTATCATTTCAAACCTAAATATTTAATATCAAATAAATAATAAATAAATCTAGCGAATGAAAGGCTATGTGATGGGGGGACTTTTTTTTTGGAATATATTTTTCAATTTTATTCATCTTGAATAATTCTTTGAAACGAGTGGATTCGCTCATTGATGGTTACATTCTCTTATCAAAACGACAGTCCGACTTAAAATGGTGAAACTCGTTTTTTAGAGGGGTGTTATTTGAGAGTGGATCGATATCGTCGTCTCGACGTCGCGACTTTCAGGTATGCGTTGGTGGCATCTTTTGAAAACGACAATGTGGGCCCACACACGATGCCCATCCTTTTATTTTCACTTTCAGAACCGAGACCACAGGTTTAACCTCTGATAACAGCTTTTTTTTTTTCCTCGAATGTACTCGGAATTTTCGGGATATCTTCGGAAGTCGAACATTAATCGTCTTATCACCAGAGAAAAAGGTAGCGATTTTTTGGTATTTCTCTTGGGATTTATCGAAGATGATGATGACAATTTCATCAGAAAAATTTTGCAGAAGCTTTTTGTCATGCCCTTTGATTCAAACAAAAAAAAAAAAATTATAATCACAATTAATTGTAATAATAATAATTATTATTCAATTTTTAATTCATCAGATGAATTATTATTACCAAAGCAATACAAATAGATAAAAAAATAGTTTTAATCTCGTTCCCCGCGTGGGTCGTAATAATTTCTTCCTAAACTGACCTCAGGGCCACGTGGGCCGGTGACTGGAAGGCGAAGGCAGGACGTACCGTAAAATGATTTAAAAAAAAATATAAATGAAAGAATAAAAAATAAAATAAATAATTCTCCATCGAGTGGTGGCTGTTTCCCCGAAGGAACACAGCGAGGTCGACGTTTCCTCTCCATCTCTCAAACCCTTCCATCCCCCTTTAATTTTTTTCTCCTGGAATCACCTGTCCAAGCCAAATGGAGAAGAAAGGATGGTGGAAAAATAAAAGAATATTGAAAAAGTCGAGAAGAGAAATAGCCCGAGACAAACGGCCCATCGATTTGCCCCCCGTCGTGATGGCCAGTTGTCTCATCAGCCCTGTTAACTCAAAATCTCTCAAAGAAATAATAATGAAGAGGGAGAACTAACTTGTGGAGTAGTTATAACCCAATAAATAAGTTCTTTTTTTTTTCTTTATAAAATGGTAAATTTTTAGTACAAAGATTCGGAGTGAAGGCTGAAAAATATTTCACCAGCTGCGCAAACTCCAGTTGGAGGGATTGAAATGCCCGTGGAAACGTGGGCGAAAGGGGATTGATCCTGAATGAAGTCCATTCATGAGGAAGAAATTGGTGGGAGAGAGAAATAGTCCCCTATGGAGACCTTTGAAATAGTGGGACTAGTATTTGTCACTTTTATCGAGGACTCTCCCTCATCCCACGCGAATAAATTTACATTTTTGAGAATATTTCAGGAATCCCCTCAATCCGATCAATTTTTCGTCATTTATTTTTATAATAATTACACCAAAACGAAATAATTATTAAAACCGCTAAAATCGAATTTTTCTTAAAAAATTGAATTTCCCAAATTTTAATGATTATTTTATTTAAAAAATAGAAAGGAAAATTTCTGTTTCTCCGACATTTCCGAAAATTGCCGGTCAACTGTCCGTGGAATTTGATTTTTTTTTTTTTTTTCCTGGTGTACGTCAGGAGTCGATCGATCCGATGACGTTGAAGTATCAATTGTCAAAAATAATTCAAGTGGATTGAGTCATCGTTGAATTGGCGGTGTGCATCATTGGTGAGCGCATGACACTGCAATACGCAATAATTTCAGAGCGTAATAATGAAAAACTAACCCATTGGACATTAGAAATACGCGTGTATTCGTGGAGAGGGGCGGTATAAACTATAAAGGATTTCTAAATTGGTGCGGGCTACCAAAATAGACTTCCGGTTCCCGTCTCGAGCGGTGTCTGCTTAACCAGGGCTATGCCAAACCTCCCATTGCTTGCTCACGATCTCCATCACTCCTATTTACTCTCATTCTTTTTATTTTGCAACCTGTCTCCATTGATGGGTGACTCGAGTCATTCAATAAACAGAAAAAACAAATTGGATACCACCATCGGGTCCACGGGTAAAAAAAATTGTAATCGAAATATTTTTTTTTCAAATATTCAAAAAATTTCGGTACAACTTTTCAGATATTTTTTTTATTAAACAAAAAAAATCGGAAAACAAAACTATTTTGTTTTTGGGAAAGGTCTTGAAGAATTTTTCCAAAATTTAAATAGGAAAATTCTTTTTATAATTTTGATGGCATTTTTTTTGAGAATATTGAAAAATTAATATTCGCAAAAATTTCTAGAAAATGATAAAAAACATTTTCCGAAATGAATCTTTTAAAAATTCCTCAAAACACTTCCCAAAAATACAATTGTTTTGTTTCCCAATTTTTTTGGTTTCAAAAAAAAATTTTCCAAATTTTTTCAAAAAAAAAAATTTTTTTCAAAAAAAAAAATTCTCCTATTACAATTTGTTTTTTTACCCGTGTCCCTACATTAAATATTGAAATCAATTGATTTATTGATTCATTCTCCACATTAACCGGTGACTCGAGTCTCAGTAGAAAAAAATGTGATATTGGCGTAATTTTTCTGTTATATACCGTGAATTTTGTAATGAATGCATTAATTAATTGATAACTGACTCGATTCATTCATAAATATGCGGAACAACCGAGACACTCACATTCATTGAAAAAGACTGACGGAAATGACGCGTCATTTTTATTGAGTATTTCTCCCAGTGTTTACTTACCACGATTAAAGTGTGAAAATAGTACGTCATGAGGCGACAATTCTCCTAGGACGTTTTTCGTTGAGATTTCCGAGAGTACCTGAGGCGTTGGCGTGGGCGAAATACTCGTACAGACATTCCGGATGGTTATTGTGCCCACTGGCACCCATGGGACTTGAAATTCATCCGGTTGAGAGGATAAAAACGATGAGAATACGATCGTCAAGTGCTTGAGAACATCTGGACTCGAGTTTCTATCCCCATTACCCTCATGTCCAACGATTTTAAGATTAAAACGTCATTGACAATTGAAAGAACAAACAAATCATCACAAAATAATAAAAAAGATTTTTTATTTTGTGAGATTGGTGTATAAATTTTGGAAATTTTGGAAATTTTGTCAGTAAAAATTGATCAATTGATGAATGACTCCAGTCGTCAAGTGGAGTCGTTCAGATTTTCAGATTTTCGTGGTTTCATCGCGATTTTGAGATTTGAAAAAGTGATAGGTACGCGCTGTAATGATCAGTCGAAAATTTGAATGGTCGAGGATGAGGGAGAAAAAATAGCTTGAGGATACGAGGGGCCAGTGGTAATTTCCAAGGCAAAAGTCTCGTCCTTTGTGTTGAGTGTATGGGTTTAGTACAAAAACCATTCTCTCTGGGGGTGTTTGATTTGAAGCTTGAGGGTCCCCGGGGTTCACTGGATAGGTATAACTTTCGTACTTGGGCCTTAGCACCTTTATCACCCCCTGGGCTCATTCTCTCGCTGTGACAAAACAAATTTACAGCCGAATTTCCAAGCAGGACCCCTGCCAAGTTTATATTCTCAGCTTCTCCGGTTATTCTCATTCTCTTCGACTCCATTATTATTCTCATTCCTCTCATTTCGGTATTTCATCTCGGCAACTGCAAGGTGGAGACACTTTCTTGGTATTTCTCATTTTTTTTACCTTCCAAATGCATTATAATATTTTTTATTCTCAACAAATATTTTTATTAAAATTAGTCCCAAAAAATTTGGGGTCTACAATGAAAAATTTAAATCGTGGGTGAAAATATTGGGAATCAAATATTAAAATTCGAGTGAAGATGGCAATTGATTGAGAATTCGGGAGTATGAGAGTGTCAGGTGTTTGAATTTCCGGAGTGGGCCCACGTGTTGGATGTAAAAGTACAAAATACCGTGGGTTTACCAGTGAACAGAGACAGAAGGAAGGTGTGGGCCCAGCACCAGAGACTCCTTATTGAACCCAACGTGTAGGATGCCGAGAAACTTCCACTCTTTCCACGTGGTTAATCCACTCCTTCCATTTTTCACTACTTCCACTCTTTGTCACCTCCGGATTTACTGATTTCCTCAATTATTCCTTCACAAAACCACCCCCAACCTCCTGATTTTTAACATTCAGGCCCTAAATTTTTTTCACTCAAATTTTCAACTTGCCAATCTTGATTTTTGACCCATTATATTTTTAATCAGAACTTCAAACTCCCAGACCTTTTATTTATGCGGTTCAATTGTTTAAACCTCAACCTTGATTTTTTAATCCACGCGTAAATTAACCCTTTCTCACCCCATCTTTTAAACTGGTAAAAATCCAAAAAATACATCCGAGTATTCTATCCTTGGGGAACATCCATATTTTTTTCAGCGCACCCCTCTCTTTTTTATTGGCGAAAAAAAAATCATATCTCTGATTAAGTCATACAGTATCTCGGGAGTATAATTACACTTCTTTGAGGCGATGAGATAAAGCTTCAGAGCGATCCTGAAACACGTTGGAATTTGTTGGGCGTGTCCTGTTGGTCGCGAACAAGACACACTCCGAGAGGTGGGTAGATATCTCAGCCCCCGTAGAACATACACCCCAGGGTATGTGCAAATTTTTGGTGTATGTAATGCATATGGTGGATGCTACTCACCTTCTTCGATGACACCCACGCCAACTGATCTCTACTTCTGATTAAAAACCAGTCGAATCAATTTGTTAACACTGTACTTCATCATACTCAGGATAACATCGGCATTCTAGCGATTAATTTGATCACATTGTGGATAGTCCACAATGACTAATAAAGAGGTCTTCTACTCAGAACTCAGGAGTTTTCTCCGGAATTTTCACGATGGAAGATATCCAATTTTTCCAAAATTTTATAATTTTCAAATTTTCCAAAAATTTCTGGAAAAAATTCTATTTTCCACTCTCGATTAAATTCAATGGTTTTTTGGACTAATAGAGAGGTCCGCTACTCAGAACTCACGAGTTTTCCCAGGAATTTTCACGATGGAAGATATCCAAATTTTCCAGAGTTTTCTTATTTTCCAATTTTTCCAAATTTTTTGGAAAAAAATTTTATTTTCAATTTTCAATTAAATTCAATGGTTTTTTGGATTAATAGAGAGGTTCGCTACTCAGAACTCACGAGTTTTCCCGACAATTTTCAGAATGGAAGATATCCAAATTTTTTCAAAAAAATTTTTCAGAAATTTTTCGCACCGATTTTTCGAATAATTTCGCTTTTTATTTGAGGCACAAGCTTTTGCCAAAAAATTTATTCCCCATATTTTTAATTTCAATTTTCAACATTTAATTGTACCCCAAAATAATTCAATAATTGAATTAACGGATTTCAATGCAGATGTTATGGACAAATTGCTGTTCTTTATATATTTACAACAAATTTAATAGATTCAATTTGTAATTAATAAACGTCGTTCGTTGGATTAAAATTTTTATCAAGATTTTATCAACTTCCTGTCTCCGAGCTGAGAAAAAATTCATGCAATTGGAACTCCCTGTTATTTTCGATAAACATCCACGTTCCTCCGTAATAAAATGTTAATTTCCGTGTACAACTTGGGAGATTACTCCAACTCGTTAATTTGTTTCTCCCGTTGAATTATGCTCATGAGTTTTGTTTGATTGATTTTTGCAGTTTGTTGACCTGGGTGTGGTAACGAGTGTGGAATACAACCACAAGGCCGTCGAGTCGGCGCGAAAGGGCCAGGAGGTGTGTGTGAAAATTGAACCAGTGCCTGGTGAAGCACCCAAGATGTTTGGACGACACTTTGATGAGAAAGACATGATCATCAGCAAGGTGAGCTCTTTTTTTTATTCCTCAAGGTTCCTAAGTCCCCGTGTCCATCAAATTCCAAGGAAACTAATCAGTAATCCTGTGCTGTTATCAACTACTCCAATTACATCGACGTCTTTTCGAATTATGCAAATAGCCTGAGACTGTCCCACAAGGAACTGATTTTAAAAACCAAAAAAAAAATATTTAAATTCAAAAAGCCCTTGACTTTATTTGAGAACTTTCTTCTGAGATAGACAGGCTGATAATTATAAAAGTCAATTTGTGTAATTGTCCATGAGGATAAATTATTGTGAAGTTTTATCGTAATTCAATTAATTTCACATTAATTATATCACGTGACACCTTGATATTTTTATATTTTGAGTATAAATAATAGTAATCGTGGGGATTTTTGTTTTAATGATGAATATATATTCTGAAGGGTCATTGTCTTCCACTCTTGCGTCATCGATTCGTCCACATGGCGATAATATCCCCCAAAGTTAATTATCCAATTAGTTGAATACGTGCGTGGGTTTGAACTAGAACTTCCGGCGCGTTCGAGGGGGTTCCATCCCATTCATCGATCTCCTTCATTCATAAATACTCACCCTCCACTCATTGATACCTTCTCCCTCCCCAATTTCGCGATTCCTTTTTTTTCTCATTTCTCCGTCTCTTAAAATATTGATTAAATTATCACGTCACTGATTAATCAGCGGATAAAATCCCTGATAATTAAAAAAATATCCAAAATAAGCGCCCGTTTTTCCCGCGATCTCACGTTTTATTTTCTCGGATAATTTTCACGGAGTAATTGAACCCACCGGAAGTGGGGAAAAGCTTTTTTGTTGTGGTTTATTCAATTAAACGAGGAGGATCACTCTTTACTCTCAGTTATTCACTTTTCACCCGACGGGAAGCGACGAATAAATAATTACAGGACTTTATCTGATAGAAATGAATTAACTCCTCGGTTTCTCGAGCCATAATCCAATGATGTTGGGGTATAAATGCCACTTCCGTTAATAGAATTCAACAGGAAGTTCCAATTATTCATTTTCAAT